AATATGTAGTTGCACATGGATTCAAAATTCTGGCCGGGAGTGTGGTGGCTGATGCCTGTAATCCCAGCTACTCAAGAGGCTGAGGCAGAAGAATTGCTTGAATCCAGGAGACAGAGGTTACAGTGAGTAGAGATTGTGCCAGTGCACTTCAGGCTGGGTGGCAGAGTAAGACCCTATCTCAAATAAAATAAAATAAAAAAAGTTACCCAGGTATGGTGGCAAGCACCTGTAGTCTCAGCTACTTGGTAGGCTGAGGCAGAAGGATCTCTTGAACCCGGGAGGTGGAGGTTGCATTGAGCCAAGATTGTGCCTGGGCTATGGAGCAAGACTCTGTCTCAAAAAACAAACGAATGAACAAAACCAAAATTCTGTCTGTCCTTCTTACTAGGTTGCCGGAAATTAAGAAACTAAATATAAATGCAAATAAAAATCTAAGACATCCAGTTAAATTTGAATTTCGGATAAACAACACTTTTTAAAGTATAGCTGTGTCCTAAATATTGCATAAGATGTATATTGCAACAGGAATATTTGGGACATACTTATACTAAAACATTATTCATTGTTCAACTGAAATTCATATTTAACTGGGTGTCCTTTATATTGTTTCCAACAACTGTAACATAATCTCTTGGCATCTACTTGGAGGGATTTTGTGAAAACTAGAGCTAATATATGTAAACTAGTTATCACAAAGCCTACCACATAATAGGATATAAATAATAATTATAATAACTAATAATGAGGAAAATTAATCTCATCTGGGACATCTGGATAACCTGTGAATATTGGCAATCTCTCTTTCCATGCCATAGGTCATACATAAGGAAGCAGGACCTGAAGAGTCTACACATGAATATTAATCAAGGAAGGAAATATTTATAATTTTATGCACTTGAACCTTTGCATGAATTTTTTTATTGTTAAACCAGGCATGGTGGCCCACACCTATAAGCCCAGCACTTTGGAAGGCCAAGGCAGGAGGATTGCAATATGATGAGACCTCTGCCTACAAAATAAAAGCCGGGCGAGGTGGCTCATGCCTGTAATCTCAGCACTTTGGGAGGCTGTGGCCGGTGGATCACCTGAGGCCAGCAGTTCAAAATCAGCCTGACCAACATGGAAAAACCCCATCTCTTTTTTAAAATAAAAATAAAAAATAAAAACAAATAAAAAATTAAGATTAGCCAGGTGTGGTGGTGTGCACCTGAAGTCCCAGCTACTCAGAAGGCTGAATTGGGAGAATTGTTTGAGCCGAAGAGGTGGAGGCTGGCAGTGAGCCAGGAGGATTGCACCACTGCACTCCACTCTGGGCAACAAAGCAAGACTCTGTGTTGAGGAAAAAAATTTTTTTTATTGTTAAAAAAATTTGCGGGCAGATCACGAGGTCAAAAGATCGAGACCATCCTGGCTGACATGGTGAAACCCCATCTCTACTAAAAAATACAAAAAAATTAGCTAGTTTTGGTGGTGCATGCCTATAGTCCCAGCTACTCAGGAGGCTGAGGCAGGAGAATTGCTTGAACCTGGGAGGTGGAGGTTGCAGTAAACCGAGATCATGCCACTGCACTCCAGCCTGGCGCCTGGTGACAGAGTGAGACTCTGTGTCAAAATGAAAAAAAAAAAATTGCATGTTTTCCAAATCTTTACAGTGTTAAAATTCTTTATATTAGTAACTTTTTCACTTTAAAACTTGAATGAAAACTTCAAAGTTATGTTCTTTCAAATATGATCATTTCAATCCTAATTAGAAAACCACCTTCATTTCCTCAAGGTAAATGTTCCAGTTTCTTGCCTACCTAGTCTCTTAACTCTGTGTTATCTAAAAACTTGTTTATAATATTCTCCTGAAACCGCTGTTGAAGGTTATCAGCCTCTATTCTTCCTTTCAATTCGTTGTTGTTATGAGCAGTTTAACCTTTCTAAAACACAAGTATCATTAAGTCAATCCCTCCCTCAAAAACAACAAATGAAAACCAGTGGGATGAATGGTGGGATGTAGGGTGAGGCCAGATTATAGTGGCCCTTGCAAGTTGAACTTCAAGTGAGAAGTTTTTGAGAGGGGAATAACATGCTAAAAGGCATTGTTTTACTTAGATTATGCCAGTGACTGTGGGCAGATGAATTAAAGATGGCAAAGATCAGGGTAATCAGCTGTTGTAGGGATCAAGTATACTGTGCTGAAAGGGAAGTCTTTCTTACAGGGCCTGGGCCTGCCAGAGAAACATTACCTTACTGAGAGGTTCATAGTTTTAATAGTTTAGGAGAATCCTAATTTGGTTGGATCCTATAGGGTATAACATTATATACAAAATAAGGCAGTTTAAAATGTAGCACTTTGATTTTAGGTGTAAAGGCTGTTATTTGAAGCACAAAAGAGTTTCTGTGCTGTAATTTTAAAGGGTTGCTGAGTCACTTGGGCATGTGAGACCTTGCCCAGGAACATCTGGCTACTCTCTTTAAGAGCTGTGACTGTACTTAGCCCCATAAAAAAAAGTCCTTTGGTCTTTTCCTGTGGATTCTAGGGCAGATGAACCAGGCAAAATAATGTTTTAGCTATTGCTGTAAACTTGCAGGAACCTGTGCTTCTTAAGTACCTTTTAAGCTTCCAGAACCTTCCTACCAAGTAATTACCTTGTGTTAGGGACGGGGCTGTGCTGCCTCAGAAAACCCCCTCCGCGCAGGCTGATCCCACCTGCTCAGGCTGACCCCACCCCCTTCTGATTGCTCTGCAGCTGCATTCCTGAACCCCTACCTAGGCGCCACATCAAGGTTGCCAGACAATTAAGCAAAGCCTAATTACAGCTATGGGGCAGCACGGGCAGCTCGAGGGATACATGTTGGTTATCCATACTTGTAAATTCCTGTTGGACACATATCTGTAAAAAATCCTGGTTTCTGTCTTTTTTTAAAGACTGCTGCCACAAAAGCCACAGGATAATATATCGTAGGTCTGTTATAAGTTAACTATCTCAGTTTGTGCCTGTTACCAGTAAATAGATTATGCCCCTCTCACCCTACATAAACCCTGGTGCTGTAAGCTCAGGGCTGCCTCCTCTGTTATGGAGCAGCCCCGCAGGTTAATAAAATTTTCTTGCCTGACTTTGAGTCTATTCTCCTTTCGCTCAGCTACCCTTACACCTTACTAAATTGGAAACAACTGTAAACCCTTTCTCCAGATCCGTACAGCCTATTCCAAGGAATAAGGGTTAACATAGGCAGTAGTCAGGCTTGCTTTGTTCTTTTTTGTTTTGAGAAAGAGTTTTGCTCTTGTTGCCCAGGCTGGAGTGCAGTGGCAGGATCTCAGTTCACTGCAACCTCTGCCTCCTAGGTTCAAGTGATTCTCCTGCCTCAGCCTCCCAAGTAGCTGGGATTACAGTCATGTGCCACCATTTTGTATTTTTAGTAGAGATGGGGTTTCGCCACGTTGGCCCGGCTGGTTTTGAACCCCTAGTCTCAGGTGATCCACCCCCCTCGGCCTCCCAAAGTGCTGGAATTACAGGGTTAGCCACCTCACCTGACCTTGCTTTGTTCTTACACATAAAGTAAGATTGTGTTCTCTAGGTAAGGAGTTTCTTGGTTATAAGGAAAAATAATCTTACTCTTAATTTCCTCTTCAGAACTAGGAAATTTGTCTTTAGACTAAAACAGCAGGAAACAAGATTGGAAAGGAGTGAAAAAAAGTGTAGAGAGATAGGAGAACCCAGGAAAGAGGGAATGCTCAGAGAATCCAGTGCTTGGAAATCTAGAAGCATGAGTTACTAGATTTTCCCAAGCAAAAATAATCAGACTTTGGTGTTTGCTGTTTCATAAAGAGAGGAGTTCAAAATAAAGGTTGCAAGAGGAAATGGGAGAGTCGGTAGTAGAAAGCAGAAGCTCTTTTCGTTTACTGTTTAGTTTCTTCCTTTTTTTTTTCTTTCTTTCATTTTTTTGAGGCGGAGTCTCGGTTTGTCGCCAGGCTGGAGTGCAGTGGCGTGATCTCTACTCACTGCAGCCTCCGCCTCCCAGCTTCAAGCGTTTCTCCTGTCTCAGCCTTCCGAGTAGCTGGGACTACAGGTGCGCGCTAGTTTCTCACTTCCTGTGAGCACTACTTTGTTATCTCCTGCAGCCTGTGTTAATGTCTTCACCTTTTGCTTTTCAACTGTTCAGAGTCTACCCATCAAAAGATGGGTACATTTCACTTCTTCTATTAGGTCTTCACTGAAGATTTCAGATTCTATTTCTTTCTCCATTCCCTGAAATCTTACTGAGTTCAATCACAATCACACCATTTAGCATATAATAGATGTATCAAAAGAGGGGCGGCTCATGTTTGTAATCTCAACATTTTGAGGGACTGAGGCGGAAGGGTCACTTGAGCTCACGATTTCAAGGCCAGGTTGGGTAAAAAAAAAAAAAAATAGTCTCTTAAAAAAAAAGTGTGAGCCTGCTTCCTTTCAACTAGGCAAACTAATTCTTGAAGTTGGAAACTATATATATATATATATATATATATATTTTTTTTTTTTTTTTTTTTTTTTTTTGAGATGGAGTTTTGCTCTCGTTGCCCAGGCTGGAGTGCAATGGCCCGATCTAGGCTCATTGCAACCTCCGCCCCCCGGGTTCAAGTGATTCCCCTGCCTCAGCCTCCGGAGTAGCTGAAATTACAGGCATGTGCCACCATGCCCGGCTAATTTTGTATTTTTAGTAGAGACGGGGTTTCTCCATGTTGGACAGGTTGGTCTCGAACCTCAGGTGATCCGCTTTCGTCGGCCTCCCTAAGTGCTGGGATTACAGGCATGAGGCACCGAGCCCGGCCTGGAGACTATATTTTAAACTTATTTTGAATACCCCCTGGAAAAGCTCTTGGTTCATACTTATAGCCCTAAGTCAAAAGATTTGTCAAAGATTCAAGAACAATCACTTAAAAATACTGTATAAAAGTTTCTATTTCAGCATGCTTTACTTTTACTTCAATAAATTCTCAAATAAATTGCATTCACTTTTATGATCTCAACAAGATCGCTCATTCCTATAGCGGAGTTGAAGTTTCAGCTTATTCACAATCATCAGAAGAACGGAGTAGTTCCCACAGACTTCCAGCAATGAGCTGTCAAATTCAGTCTGCATTAAGTAGTCTCCTTACAATCGTCCCGACGGTAAAAGTATGAAATCCCGCAAACACCTGGACAAGGAAGTCAAATGACCATCAAATAAAACAGTTAACTCATGTCAAGCGAGTGGACCAGGTTGCCTGAGCTCACTACTCTCAAATTCTAACTCCGGCTTCACATCATTAGGCGTAAGCAGCCAATTGGGCCGTCTGGGAGCCGTGCATCCTGGGAGTTATAGTTTCCGGCTCCCTCCTTCAGACTACAAGCTCTACAGAGCCGCGGGAGGACGGTTGCCTGGTATTATCAGCAAGCAGCAAGTATGGCGGTGGCGCGCGTGGACGCGGGTTTGCCTCCCGGAGAAGGTAAGGTAATGCCTGCCCCTGAGACCTAAAGTTTACTCCATGGAGCTGAATTAAATAGTGGAGAAGAGAAAGCCTAGGTTTAGAGATGAGTTCTGGACCAGTTCTTTTGATGTGGGGCTGTGGTCGTCGCGGAGGCGCTCTACCCTCTGGGAGTTGTAGTTCGCATGCGATGCCCAGCTCTCCGGCATCGCGGTGAGGGCCGAGGCGGGGACTACAGCCCCCAGAAGCCTTCGCGCGGCCTGGCGCCCTGGCTCCCGCGCTCCCGATGCTGAGTAGGCGATGGGTTTCGGGCTGAGATGACCTTTCTTGGCCATTTACTTTGAGTCCTGGGTGCCTAAGCGAAATGTTTGGGATCTCCGTCTTTTGGTTCACACATCCCCCTTTCTCCTTGGTTTCCGGAATGTTCAGGAAAACCTACCTTCAGAGACCGCTGCCTAGACTGACTTTGAACCCTTCCTCGGAGGTGGCCAGTGGCTTGATAAAATCTGGGGGGGTGATCCCACAGTTCTGTACTCCTTGTTCTGCACAGGGGTCCTAGGATCGAGTTTGGTCGCTGCCCAGTAGAGCACAGGAGTGTGTGGGTGCTTCCATGGCCTGAAGATACCTCTTTGGGGAGCCGGACGCGAGCTCCTTTTGTTTTGGTTACGGCTCCGAGGCTTGGCAGCAGTCAGTCCTCTAAATCGGAGACAGGGCCCAGGGGTCGAGGCCCGTCTTCACGGTTTAGACCAGGAGTGCATTTTCTGGGAGCCGTAAATTCTTGCGGAAAGAGCTGGTGGAACCCTCAGAGCTGTTTTCGACCTCTTGGAATTGTGTACAAAGGCTGTGCACTTTTCTGAGACAGCACACAGCTTTCACCAAATTTTCAGAGGGGCTAACGATTCCTCACATGCTAAGAGCCATTAGACAATGGGAAAACATTGAAATCCTCCAGGAGAGCAGTCTGGCATAATTATTTCTGCAGTAGTCCTAATCTGGCTATAAATTCGAAATTGGCAGTTTCTCTGTCCCCGCCCTCTTTTGGAGATCGGCTTTTCTTAAGCCCCACCTCTCTAGCTCACCAGGGCTGCTTAACTGTTAATAGCAGTTAACACTGACAGAGCACTTTTTATGACCCAGACTGTGTTCTCAGTGCTTTATTTATTTATTTTTATTTTTTTAACATTAGCTCATTTTCTCTGTAGAACTACATTTATAAGGCAGGTATTACCCCATTTTACAGAGTAGAAAAGTGAGCCCCAAAGAAATCAATAATTTGCCTACTACACCACAGTAGTTAACTGGTGGAGGCAGAGTTTGCACGTCTATGGTATACTAAAGTGCTTTATTGAGTGCCCTGTGCCAGGAAAGGGGCTAAGTGCTGTTCATGATTTCCTTTAAATTCCCATGTCGAGCTAGTGAAATAGGTATATTATCCTATTTTATGGGCGAATTAGTTGAACTATACTTTGATTTTCAAAATCACAGTTTGGGCACTTTAGGATATATTGGTAGTTGGGCTGTAAGCTGGTGGATTGCAGTCAAAGGTTTAGTAACATTTAAACAATAGTATCATTACTTAGGCACAACAAATGGAAGTAATCGTTCATATTTAGATGTGAAGATTTCCAAAGTATATCATACAAACTCGAGGAGAATATCACAAATCTAGTTTTAATTTGATATTTCTGAAGAAAAATGAGTAATCCAGTCTGGTCATTTAGAACTCAAGATTGCTTTAATTTTACAGTGTTGATATTTGTTATGCTCTACTGTTTTTTAACTTGAAATGTATAGAGATTTTATAGTTCTACCCCTATGGTCAGCTGTTGTAGAAGTTTTATCTGTGTTTTCTAACACTTCTGTTTCTTTTCAAGGATCAGTGGTCAATTGGTCAGGGCAGGGACTACAGAAATTAGGTCCAAATTTACCTTGTGAAGCTGATATTCACACTTTGATTCTCGATAAAAATCAGATTATTAAACTGGAAAATCTGGAGAAATGCAAACGATTGATACAGGTGGGTATTGCAGTTTGGGAAGTGGTTACATAGGACCAATTTATTATTAAACAAAACAATAAAATAACCTGACTAAAAGTAACTGTGCAGGCCTAAAAAGCAGTAATTGTTGCCTTAAATTTTTACATGACAGTTTCTTCTGAAGATGAACATACATGTACTACATTGAGAGTAGATTAGGAAAAGAAGCATTGTTAAGAAAAGGAAGCATTTTATGTTGGCAAAATACTGGGTTACTAAAGTAACCTTTTTTCATGATGGAGGCAAGTAGTTCATTCATTCCTTCATTCAATAGTTACTGAGTCCCACTTATATGTCGGGTACTGTATTAAGTTTTGACTGGAGAGAGTGTAAGAACCCTATTCCATAGAACTTACATTCTCAAATTGTTGCTGTGTTAAAAATGTCTCCGTAGTGGGAGGAGGTCTGATCACTGAGCTTTCTCTGCATTTTCTGTTGCTCAGGGACAATAACAAAAAACTGATAGTCATATTAGAATCTTTAGACAATGTATGTGAAATATACAAAAGGAGTTTGTCTGTTTGAGAGTGTTTGGCTGTCTGAATAAACCTTTTAAGTCACCTGAAGGTGAAATATATTCTATATATTATTCCTAAAACTAACATTGTTTCCTTTTCACAGTTATCAGTGGCCAATAATCGGCTGGTTCGGATGATGGGTGTGGCCAAACTGACATTGCTTCGTGTATTAAATTTGCCTCATAATAGCATTGGCTATGTGGAAGGGCTAAAGGAACTAGTGTGTCTGGAGTGGCTGAATTTGGCAGGAAATAATCTTAAGGTGAATGGTTTCTTTTTTGTTTACAAAACTATTCTGCATAAAAAAATTCAAGCAATGTAGAAATAAGCCAAATTAAAAAGTGAAAGTACCCACTCCCACTCCCCAGGGATAATCTCTGTTAAACCAAAAATAAATTTTATTTTGAAACATATAATAAGGTATAATTTTTTTTAAATGTTAACAAAGAATCTATATTGTACTAAAGAAAAGTCGATCAAACCATAGAGTGTTTAGGAAGGAGACTATACCATGATGAATTAAGCTTTAAGTAGATGTTTAATGCTATAATGGAGAATATACAGTTTTAAAAGTCAGGAGATCTGAATTCTGGTCCTACTTCCACCACTTAGTAACTGTGTAATTTTGGGTAAATTAATACATATTTCTGTGTCTTATTTTTTGACATGCTAGCTGAGAGGACTAGATTAAATGATACTAATAGCTGCCTCTTATTAATCCATTAATGTATATGAGCTACTGTTCTAAGCATTCATCTCTATTAACTTACTTGATCTCATGGCAGTATATGAAGTAGATATAGATATGCCTGTTATAAAGGCGAGGAAAGTGAAGCACAGAGAAGTTAAGTAACTTGCTTGAGGTTACACAGCTAGGAAGTTGCAGGGCCAGAATGTAAATCCAGGCTGTTTGGTCTCAATCTAAAGTTGTAAACTCTGTTCTATACCAAACGTCATATATTATTACTATGATTTCTTTTTCTTTTTTTTTTTTTTCTGAGACAGAGTTTTGTTCTTGTTGCCAGGCTAGAGTACAGTGGCATGCTCTCAGCTCACTGTAACCTCTGCCTCCTGGGTTCAAGTGATTCTTCTGCCTCAGCCTCCTGAATAGCTGGGATTACAGGCACTGCCACCATGCCTGACTAATCTTTTATATTTTTTTTAGTAGAGATGGGTTTCACCATGTTGGCAAGGCTGGTCTTGAACTCCTGACTTCAGATGATCTGCCCACTTCAGCCTCCCAAAGTGCTGGGATTACAGGCGTGAGCCACAGTGCCTGGCGATTACTAAGGTTTCTTCAAGCTGTAAATATCTTGGATGGTATGAACCATTTGGTAGCCCTGTACTCATAGAGAGATAATGAAAGTATAAGTTTACAACATGACAATCTACTAAATTCTGTTAGTACTGCCCCCTTTTCTCTTGCTAAGTTTTTCTACTCTGCTTCTAATAATAAGAGGAGGCCAGACACTCTTTCAGCTACAAAAAACTAGGGAATAATTTTATGTTTTGATTTTGTTTTCATTAAATAATGTGATGCTTTTCTTGTGATAGGCCATGGAACAGATCAATAGCTGCACAGCTCTACAGCATCTCGATTTATCAGATAATAACATATCTCAGATAGGTGATCTATCTAAATTGGTATCCCTGAAAGTAAGTATGTTTTCTATGTCATTTGTTAAGTTTTATACCAAAATACCAAGAGGAAGTAATCTTATTGACCTAAAATTAGCCTACTGTATATGAACAGATTTTTTTTTTTATGATAAGAATTATGGGCTGGGCATGGTGGGTCATGCCTGAAATCCCAGAACTTTGGGAGGCTGTGGCTTGTGGATGGCTTGAGCTCAGGAGTTTGAGACCTGCCTGGGCAACATGGCAAAGCTCCATCTCTACTAAAAATACAAAAAATTAGTGGGGCATCGTGATGTGGGACTGTAGTCCCAGCTACTCAGCTGAGGCAGGATTGCTTGAGCCCAGGAGGTGGAGGTTACAGTGACCTGAAATTGGGCCATGACACTCTAGCCTGGGCAACAGAGTGAGACTCTGTCTCAAAAAAAAAAAAAAAAAAAAAGGGAAATAAGGAATTATGTTAGAACGCCAGAAATCAAGTATGGAACTTTTCGTTGTTAGTTCTGTAACTGATTTATTTGATGTGAAACTGGTCATTGTAGTTAAGGTTAATTTTACTGACAGTTTTCTGAACATGATGGAATTCCCTCTTTGCCCAACCAACCAATGCTAGTTGTACATAGTACGTAATCTTTGGTGACGTTGAGATTCATCATTCCTGAATTTGAGTCTGTCTTCATTTTTGAGACAGAGTCTTGCTCTGTCACCCAGGCTGGAGTGTAGTGGTTTGATCTCACTTGACCTCCCAGGATTAAGGAATCCTCTCACCTCTGCCTCCCAAGTAGCTAGGACCATAGGCATGTGTACATCACCACACCTAGCTAATTGTTTGGGTTTTTGTAGAGATAAGATCTTTTTTGTTGTTGTTGTTGTTCTTTTTTGAGATGGAGTTCTGCTCTGTCACTCAGGCTGGAGTGTAGTTATGCAGTCTCGGCTCACTTCAACCTCTGCTTCCTGGGTTCAAGTGATTCGTCTTCAGCCTCCTGAGTAGCTGGGATTATAAGCGCCTGCCACCACACCTGGCTAATTTTTATATTGTTAGTAGAGACGGAGTTTCACCATGTTGGCCAGGCTGATCTTGAACTCCTGACCTCACATGATCCTCTTGCCTTGGCCTCCCACAGTGTTGGGATTACAAATGTGAGCCACTGCACCTGGCCAGAGATGAGATCTTACTCTGTTGTCCAGACTGGTCTCAAACTCCTGGACTCATGCAGTCCTCCTGTCTCAGCCTCTCAAAGTGCTAGGATTACATGTGTGAGCCACCAAGCTGGCTAAGTCTTTTTTTTTTTTTTTTTGATTCAGAATTACTATTTTTAAAGTAATAGGTATTAGTTAATTATCAAAATTAGTTTCACTTAAAAAAATAAACATGTAAGGCTGGGCTCAGTGTCTCACACATGTAATCCTAGAACTTTGGGAGGCCGAGGCGGGTGGATCAGAAGGTCAGGAGATTGAGACCATCCTGGCCAACATGGTGAAACCCCATCTCTACTAAAATACAAAAAACTAACCAGGCATGGTGGCACGAGCCTGTAGTCCCAGCTACTCGGGAGACTGAGTCAGGAGAATCAACTGAAGCTGGGAGTCGGAGGTTGCAGTCAGCCGAGATCGCGCCACTGCACTCTAGCCTGGTGACAGAGCAAGATTCCATCTCAAAAAACAAACCCAACAAAAAACATGTAGCATATAGCACTTTTTATGGAGGGGAATGTATCATGCAGTCAAATAAGTAACAGTTGAAATCATAGTCTTAAAAAACATATGTAGGACATTTTAAATATTGTTGCCTCATTGGATATTATTAGCATCAGATATATTCATTAAGCCCTAGAAGCAGTATCTTAGTTCAGCTTTTCCCAGATCTTTAGGAGAAATCATTTTTAGCAATAATTATTCTAAACAATTATATGTAGCCAGATGCTGTCCTGATAGATGCTGAGAGAATTCAAATGAGCTAAAGATGACTGAATGTTTTTTTTTCCCTGGAATAGAAGCACGTTTATCTGATCAGAATCCTGGGTGTTCAGTTTTGAGTTTATTCTTGTTTGTTGCTGACTTAATGTGAGTCAGCTTCGTCTGAAAGTAACACATTCTACCTTCCTCTAGTTTTTAGTTACCTAGAGAATACAGTTGCAAATATGGGTTGTAGGTTATCGCTCTCTTTTTTAGAAAATTTACTTTATATGTGGTTGTTTTTATGCCTTTTTTTTTTTTTTAACTTGAGACACCAGAGTCTTGCTGTCACCCAGGCTTGAGTGCAGTGGTGCAATCATGGCTTACTGCAGCCTCAGCCTCCTGGTCCCAAGCGATCCTCCTACCTCAGCACTCCCTAGTAGCTGGGACTACAGGTGCACCCCATCATGCCTGGCTAATTTTTTGATTTTTAGTAGGGAAAAGGTCTCACTAATGTTGCCCAGGCTGGTCTCAAACTCCTGGGCTCAAGCGGTCTTCCCTCCTTGGCCTCCCGCAATGCTGGGATTATAGGCAAGAGCCACCACATGTGGCCTCTATTTTGATATTTTAAAAGAAACTGAACAAGTATGTTAGAAATTGCTCAGTGTCTCATAACGTAAATCTCATAGCATGCCTAGTTGCCATGCCAACAATGTGTTTTAAGGCAAATCTTTAAAGTATCTGGGGCTTAGGATGCTGGTACGGAAACAGAGAGTTGGACCAGAAGAACATCAAGGACCCTTCTAGCATTAACAGTCTCTGATTTGTGTGATGAGAAATATAATAAAGTAGATTCTTTTATTCTTACATTTGCCATTTTGGTGTTGTCACAATAGGCCAATTTATTTGTAATCTTTTTATTTGTAATTCATACTGTTTTTACTTTCAAGACCCTGCTTTTACATGGAAACATCATCACCTCTCTTAGAATGGCACCTGCTTACCTACCCAGAAGTCTTGCTATACTTTCTTTGGCAGAAAATGAAATCCGAGACTTAAATGAGGTAAAATTTGAGGGTATTTTGTGAGATTCAGGAAGCTGGAAAGTCCAGGAAAGACACTGGAGAGGGTTGTGAGCTTGCTTTTAGATTGTGAACAGCTTAGAAGAAAGTTCCCTTCAGATGAAGTGTTTGCCTCTAGATGATCGTTAGTTTTCTTTCCACTTTTCCTTAGTGTCAGTGGGTCATTAAGATCTAATTTCCTTTGGAAAGTTGTAATTATCATTCCATTGGGAAGTGATTGGTGGTAGAGGGACATCTGCCTCATAAGGGTTTATACGACTCCCTGTCCAACTTTCCTGGCTGCTGTGATGTTTTCAAAATAGGGTTCTTTCTGCTAGGAAACTGTGCTGATACTTGCTAAGGGATTTTGTGCAGCAGGGACGGATGGCTATATTGTTGAAATTTTGGAAGTCAGTGGGTACTTGTGACTTTTCAGAACAAGAGGGAAATTATCACATTCTCAAATGCTGCCAAAGATGTGTAATCAGTGGAAAGCTTGCGCTTGACACTGAATAGTCCTTTTGTTCAACAAAGTTATCTTTTGTTCCAGATCTCTTTTCTGGCATCCTTAACTGAATTGGAGCAGTTGTCGATTATGAACAATCCTTGTGTGATGGCAGCACCTTCCATCCCAGGATTTGACTATCGGCCGTACATCGTCAGCTGGTGCTTAAACCTCAGAGTCCTAGATGGATATGTGATTTCTCAGAAGGAAAGGTGAACATGCCCTCTTTAACAACATGACAAATGTTACTGAAAGACCATTTCTAGTTTACTACAGATTAATAGAGTAGTATTTCTTCATATGTGCATTTAGAAATTAAGAGTATTACTGTAGTCATATAGCAGACTATGTGCTGGTCACTTAGGATTTTCTGTCATTTCTAAAAAAGGATAAGAAATCAATATTGGCCCGGTGCAGTGGCTCATGCTTGTAATCCTCACGCTTTAGAAAGCCGAGGCAGGAGGATCGCTTGAGCCCAGGAGTTTGAGACCAGCCTGGGCAATACAGGGAGACTGCATCTCTAAAAAAAAAAAATAATAATTAGCTGGGCATGGTGGTACACATCTGTAGTCCTAGCTACTTAGGAAGCTGAGGTGGGAGGATTGCTTGAGCCCAGGAATTTAAAGTTGCAGTGAGTTATGGTTGTGCCATTGCACTCTACCTTGGGTGACAGACAGATACTCTATCTCTGACAAAAAAAAGAAAAGAAATCTTAGCCCCGGAGGTTGGAGCTAGTAGTCTTAGTGCCCTACATACAACAATTTGATTTCTAAAAGTTCTTTTGTTAATCAGTTGTTTGGAGCTTGGAACACTTTTGCATAGAAACCATCATGTTTTAGAACCTATGTAGGGTCTCAGATCATTGTCACAAAAGCTGTGATCTATTAATCTACCAGGGCCGTATTTTTATTCATTTTATTTTCTATTTATCATCTAACGCCAAGTCACATAGGGCAGTATTAGTCATATCTTCGAATTCTCCAAATACTCATTATAATGGTAATTCTGGGAAAATGCAGAGTTTTAATTTGGAACTGGTAGCATACATGGTGATTGGTCCTCTCCCCCGCTTTTTTTTTTTGAGATGGAGTTTCGCTCTTGTTGCCCAGGCAGTTGTGCCATTGGAGTACAATGGCACGGTCTTGGCTCACCACAATCTCCACCTCCTGGGTTCAAGTGATTCTCCTGCCTCAGCCTCCTGAGTAGCTGGGATTACAGGTATGCACCACCAGGCCTGGCTAATTTTGTATTTTTAGTAGAGATGGGTTTCTTCATGTTAGTCAGGCTGGTCTCCGAACTCCTGCCCTCAGGTGGTCTGCCCGCCTTGGCATCCCAAAGTGCTGGGATTATAGGCATGAGCCACCGCACCTGGCCAGGTCCTCCCCTTCTTATACCTGTGAAGTGGCAGAAGTGAGAATTCCCAATCTGTAGATCATTGATAGTTTCTGTGGCTTGGATCTGGGACTCCTGCAGAATGGAGTCTTCTGGATCCTGACACATGATCAGTGGAATCAGAGCTTCAGGGGAGGTAAGGAACTAGGATATGGGAAAGATGGAGTGGAATTGGGATAGTGAGAGTTGAGATTACTTTATTCTCTCTACTGTGTTTCATTTCACTTTTTCCTCTCAGTACATTCACGCATGCATTCATGGACTCAACACATACATACTCCCTCACCATTTTTGTTCTTCTCTACTATGGACTATAGTTATTTGAAGAGTTTCCTGATGGGAGGATGGGTTGTAGATTACAGACAGCATCTCTATTCTCTGTCTCTCTGCCGTTTTGCTTAGTTTCTGAGTAAAGCAGGGGCTGTGAGGAATGGCAGCCAGGTGCTAGATTGTGGTGGTGCTGGTGTAGGGTGAGGGACATGTCAGGTCTAGTTTGCCTACAAGAAAGGGTGGCTTTTTCTGCTGTGAGTGTTGCTCTGAGAGTAAACCTTACTTTGTTTCAAACTGTGACTAGTTCTCGATCTGGAATATAGGTCTACTTGGATTATCCTCTCCACAGTTGTTGACTTTTTCTATGGGAGTAGGACTGGCAACATTTTCATGTCTGAGAGGCAGCATGGTGATGTGGGCAGAGATAAAGGTTTGATGTGAAGAGAGACCCACAAAGAGAGGTGAGACCTGGTTAGGAGAGACAAGGGAAGGCTTCACTTCTTTCTCTGCTACCTGTTAGCTTTGTGGCCTTGTCAGGTTCCTTAGTGCTTTCTGAGCCAGTTTCCTCATCTGTAAAATGTGAATAGCAGTACTACCTAGCTTTCATGGATGTTAGGATTAAGGATGATGTATAGAACATAGAACTGGTCATATAGTAGGTGATTAATAAATGATAATTATATAAGGATAGAGACTAAAGGTCAAAGAGTTTGTTGAAACTAAAGAGACTGTTAAGGCAGAAAATATTTGTTGATTGGGTAAATAATAATACAAAAATCTATGTTGCTATACTGTGGAAATAGTTTTAATCCAAGTGACTTTAAGGTGAACTTGAATATTTTTTTAACTTTCTCCATAATGCTACGCAAACATTTAATTTCAGAGACTTCAGGAGATTGGGAAGAATGGACTCCCACCTGGGGTAGTCTCCCTCTCTGTGGTTGTCTTGCACTAAAGAAGTGTTGCGGGGTGGCTGGCAAGATGGCCAAATAGGAGCAACTCCATCTGTAGCTCCCAGTAAGATCAATGCAGAAAGTGGGTGATTTCTGCATTTCCAACTGAGATACCCAGCTTATCTCACTGGGACTGGTTAGACAGTGGGAGCAGCCCACGGAGGGCGAGCCAAAGCAGGGTGGGGTGTTGCCTCTTCTGGGAAGCTCAAGGAGTCGAGGAACTCCCTCCCCCTACCCAAGGGAAGCCATGAGGGACTGAGCCGGGAGGAACAGTGTACTCCGGCTCAGATGCTATGCTTTTCCCACAGTCTGCAGCCTGCAGACCAGGAGATTCCCTCCGGTGTCTACACCACGAGGGCCCTGGGTTTCAAATGCAAAACTGGGTGGCCATTTGGGCAGACACTGAGCTAGCTGCAGCAGTTTTTTTTTCATACCTAGTGGTGCCTGGAATGCCAGAAAGACAGAACTGTTCACTCCCCTGGAAAGGGGGCTAAAGCCAGGGAGCCAAGTGGTCTAGCTCAGCGCATCCCACCCCAACGGACCCCAGCAAGCTAAGAGCCACTGGCTTGAAATTCTCACTGCTGGCACAGCAGTCTGAAGTCGACTTGGGAAGCTCAAGCTTGGTGGGGGGTAGGGCATCTGCCATTACTGAGGATTGAGCAGGTGGTTTTCCCTTCACAGTATAAACAAATCCTCCGGGAAGTTTGAGCTGGGCAGAGCCCACTGCAGCTCCTCAAAACTGCTGTAGCCAGACTGCTTCTCTAGATTCTTCTCTCTGGGCACGGAATCTCTGAAAGAAAGGCAGCAGCCCCAGTCAGGGGCTTATAGTTCAAATTCTCATCTCCCTGGGACAGAGCACCTAGGGGAAGGGTTGTCTGTGGCTACAGCTTCAGCAGACTTAAACATTCCTGCCTGCTGGCTCTGAAGAGAGCAGTGGATCTCCCAGCACAGCGCTCAAGTTCTGCTAAGGGACAGACTGCCTCTTCAAGTGGGTCCCTGACCACCGTGCCTCCTGACTAGGAGACACCTCTCAGCAGAGGTCGATAGACACTTCATATAGGAGAGCTCCAGCTGGCATCTGGTGGGTGCCCCCTGGGATGAAGCTTCCAGACGAAGGAACAGGCAGCAATCTTTGCTGTTTTGGGGCCTCCCTGGTGATACATAGGCAAACGGGGTCTAGAGTGGACCTCCAGCAAACTCCAGCAGATCTGCAACAGAGGAGCTTGTTAGAAGGGAAATAAAAAACAGAAAGGAAGAGCATCAACATCAACAAAAAGGACATCCACACAGAAACTCATCTGAAGGTCATCAACATCAAAGACCAAAAGTAGATAAATCCACAAGGATGAGGAAAAAGGCTGAAAATTCCAAAAACCAGAATGCCTCTTCTCCTCCAAAGGATCACAGCTCCTTGCCAGTAAGGGAACAAAACTGGATGGAGAATGAGTTTGATAAATTGACAGAAGTAGTCTTCAGAAGGTGGATAATAACAAACTCCTCCGAGCTAAAAGAGCATATTCTAACCCAATGCAAGGAAGCCAACAACCTTGAAAAAAGGTTAGATGAACTGCTAACTAGAATAACTAGTTTAGAGAAGAATATAAATGACCTGATGGAGCTGAAAAACACAGCATGAGAACTTCGTGAAGCATACACAAGTATCAATAGCTGAATCGATCAGGCAGAAGAAAAGATATCAGAGATTGAAGATTAACTTAATGAAATAAAGTGTGAAGACAAGATTAGAGAAAAAAGAATGAAAAGAAACAAATGAAGCCTGCAAGAAGTATGGGACTATGTGAAAAGACCAAACCTACATTTGATTGGCGTACCTGAAAGTGATCGGGAGAAGGGAACCAAGTTGGAAAACACTCTTCAGGATATTATCTAGGAGAACTTCCCCAATCTAGCAAGTCAGATGAACATTCAAATTCAGGAAATACAGAGAACACCACTCCTTGAGAAGAGCAACCCCAGGACACATCATCAGATTCACCAATGTTGAAATAAAGGAAAAAATGTTAAGGGCAGCCAGAGAGAAAGGTCGGGCTTCCCACAAAGGGAAGCCCATCAGACTAACAGCAGATCTCTCTATAGAAACCCTACAAGCCATAAGACAGTGGGGAACAATATTCAACGTTCTTAAAATAACTTTCAACCTGGAATTTCATATCCAGCCAAACTAAGCTTCATAAGTGAAGGAGAAATAAAATCCTTTACAGACAAGCAAATGCTAAAAGATGTTGTCACTACCAGGCCTGCCTTACAAGAGCTCCTAAAGAAAGCACTACACATGGAAAGAAACAACCAGTACCACCCACTGCAGAAACATACCAAATGGTAAAGACCATTGACACTGTGAAGAAACTGCATCAACTAGTTGTCAAAATAACCAGGTAGCATCATAATGACAGGATCAAATGCACACATAACAATATTAACCTTAAATGTAAATGGGTTAAATGCCCCAATTAAAAGACACAGACTGGCATTGGATAAGGAGTCAAGACCCATCTCACGTGCAAAGACACACATAGTCTCAAAATAAAGGGATGAAGGAGTATTTACCAAGCAAATGGAAAGAAAAGAAAAAGCAG